GCTGTTTGCCTGGTCCGAGGTGGCCACGACATCATCCTGGCTGCCTTCGACAACTTCAAGGAGGTGAGTCCCCAGCAGGGACACGGGTCCCCACAGGGACAGCCCTGCTCTGGCTGGGTTCCTGCCTCAGTGTCCCTGTGTGTGGCAGAGCCCTGCCCCGTCCTGACCACACCCATCCCTGGCTCACCTGGGGATGCTCCAGCTGTGGGGCTTGATGTCCCCACGCCAGCGTGTCCCCAGGGCCAGGTCCCATCAGGGTTGGGATGGTGCCACTGGCGGGTGCCTCGTGCTCTGCCACCCCTCTGGGCACCCCCAGCCGTGTCCCCCTGGCCCTCAGCCCCCTGCTCCCCCCCAGGTGTGCGGGGAGAAGAACCGCTTTGAGAAGCTGATGGAGTATTTCCGAAACGAGGACACCAACATCGACTTCATGGTGAGCGGCTCATGGGGCCGGTGCTCTGCTGTCCCCAGGCCATCCTGTCCCCAAGGGCTGCCAAGCCACCACAGTGTCCTGGGGGTGCCCTGTCCCAAGGGCTGTTGTGCTGTCCCCAGGCCACTGCGTCCCCAAGAGCTGCTGAGCCTCTGCGCTGTCCCCAGGCCTTCAGGTCCCAAAGAGCTTCTAAGGTGCCACACTGGCCCCAGAGCATCATGTCCCCAAGGGCTGCTGAGCCACCCAACTGTCCCCAGGCCATCATATCCCAAGGGCTGCTGAGCCCCAGGTCATCATGTCCCCAAGGCCACTGCACTGTCCCCAGGCCATCGTATCCCAAGGGCTGCTGAGCCACCGTGCTATCCCCAGGCCTTCATGTCCCCAAGGGTTCTAAGCCACCAGACTGTCCCCGGACCTTTATGTTCCTGAGGACACCATGCTGTACCCATGCCATAATAGCCCCAAGGCCACCATGCTGTCCCCAGGCCTTCATGTCCCCAAGGCCACCGCGCTGTCCCTAAGCCATCGTGCCCCCAAGGGCTGCTGAGCCACTGGTCCTTCCCCACGTCCCTGGGGATGTGAAGCCACCACGCCCTCCCCAGGGCACCTTGTCCCCGAGGGCCACCCCCCCATGTGCTGCCCGGGGCACTGTGTCCCCGGGGGCTGCGGTGCCACCCCCGTGCCGTGTCCCCGCAGGTGGCCTGCATGCAGTTCATCAACATCGTGGTGCACTCGGTGGAGAACATGAACTTCCGCGTGTTCCTGCAGTACGAGTTCACCCACCTGGGGCTGGACCAGTACCTGGAGGTGGGTGATCCCGAGGGCTGGGGGTGCTGGGGGGGGACACACCACCGTCCCTGACCGTGCCCCGGCTGTCCCGCGGCAGAGCCTGCGCCTCACCGAGAGCGACAAGCTGCAGGTGCAGATCCAAGCCTACCTGGACAACGTCTTCGATGTGGGGGCCATGCTGGAGGACTCGGAGACCAAGACGGCGGTGCTGGAGCACATGGAGGAGCTGCAGGAGCTCGTCAGCCAGG